TATTACACCTTACATCTAAAGAATAAGACGTCATGTTTGAGATGTATATTGCATGCGTCTTCTGTATTCGATTACGAATTATTATTATTATTATTATTATGCATTTCGTTAGGTCTATTATAATGATTGTACATTACGTCTCTATTTTATTATTATTATTATTATTATTATGTATATATATTGGTACAGCAGGGCAATTTAACTATAGATTTTTTGAAGGGTTTCGTAAGATTTAATGCATTGGTGCAAAGCAAAGCCTTGAGATTATGGGATTGCTATAGTGAAGATAAGCCTAAGCCTAAGCCGTTGTATTTGCAGATAAGCGAAAATGAGTAGCATCAGCTTAATTGCGCATCAAAACGGTATGAGATCAACGACAGCGTTGATGACTAGACGCACACCGGATATTGCCCAGAGGTAGGTGATTACTCTATTGATTGGGTGGGTAAATGGCTAATGGGTAAGTAAGTGTGATGATGATATGAATTGAAGACTGGCAAGATGGTTGTCGACGAGCCAAGAGGCTCATCGAAATCGACGGTCGCATTCAGAGCATCACGAAGACGTCTACTCGGCCGATTTACCTCCGATGGACGAGAAGGAGATGGCTCTGTATAAGTTGTACCGACCCGAGCGATTGACGCCTAAGGAACGCTCAACCGAGCTGATGAAGATGCCGAGACTGAATAAGGTGATTTTGCTTAGTGTTGAGGAGAGTTTTGAGCTTGAATTGACGACTAGAGGCTTGAATTGGTAAGGTGCTAAGGTTGTGGTTTGATATTGCAGGGCATGGCATTCAGTCTGTATGAGCGGCAGTATCTCGGTCTGCATGGTCTGTTACCGCCAGCGTTCATGACCCAGGAACAACAGGCCTACCGAGTGATCACTAAACTGAGAGAACAACCTAATGATTTGGCCAGATACATACAGCTCGACGGTCTTCAGGTACTATTTTTTGTTGTTATTAGTTGTATTTTATGATTGGTATTGATTAGTTGTGATTGAAATTTAATATGTCTAGTTGTAGTGTTATTATTTTAAGTGATGTGTTTTGAGGACCGTAATGAGAAACTCTTCTATCGTGTGCTATGTGACCACGTCAAGGAGTTGATGCCGATTGTGTACACGCCGACGGTTGGCTTG